CACACACACACACACGCACGCACGCACGCACGTACACACGTGCGTACAGACAAGAATCGCGCTGTCAGCACTCTCCCTCTGATCAAGCTTGGCTCGGAATTTGGCCGCGTGTCGGACTACCTGTCGCGCTTTGCCCAAATCCCGGACATCCTGGAGCTCGACCATCTGACCGTCACCGGTGATGTGAACTTTGGCTCCGGCGTCACCCTGCGTGGGACTGTCATCATTGTTGCCACCCATGGCCAGCGCATCGACATCCCCAATGGCTCGATCTTGGAGAACAAGATCGTCACCGGCCACCTGCGGATCCTGGACCATTGAGCCGACATGCTTACAGGAGGGCGGGTATCCCGACTCGCCTTGCTTTCCCGGCCGTCCTTCCTCGCTGTCCATCCCTCTGCGCATCCTCCGCCACTCTCCCTCTGCAGTCGCCTTCCTCCTCTCCCCCCCCCCCCCTCCACACACACGCATACGTCATTTGCCGTTTTCCTCTCCTCCTGCGAACTGTCTCTCCCCTCCCATTCTCCTCTTTGCCTTCCCTCTGCTCCCCTGCCCCCCCCCCTCTGTCCGTCCTGCACATGTACAGAAAAGAAGGGATCTTGTACACTATCCTCCCTCTCCCCCCTCCTCTTCATACACTAATATTCCCTTCATTTTCCTGCACCTACTGCCAGGTTTTTGCTGACATCAGCACAACCTAGCCCTCACACTGGAACATACAGGGGGGGTGTCGTGAGGAACAACATGCTTGTTGTGTGTGTGTGTGTGTGTGTGTGTAAATGTGTAATTGAGAGAGGGAGAGAGAAAGAGGGGGAGGGAGGGGGGCGAAATGTTTGGAGGTGCAAACCATAGGAAGCGTTATAGACGATGCGCGCTTTCATGCCCACCGCCGGGATAATTTTCTTGCCCTCGTCCCGTCTTTGCGACTTCTTTTCGTCCCGCCATTTGTGCGCTCTAATCTCCCGACTGACAGGGGTGGTATTGCGAAAGATGGGTATACACACGCACACGGATGCATGTGGCAGGCAAAAGGGAGGATCTGAACACGGCAGTAGGCTGACGTGGCAACACACAAACCAAAGAGAGGAAGGCAAGGGGAGACTCTATGTGGAGGAAAAGACAAGAGGGGGGGGGGAGGGTATCGGGACTCCAAGACCGGCCGGCGGACAAGGGCGATTTCTCTCTCAATGGACAAGGACAGGGGGATGGAGAAGAGGCGGAGTTGATGAGGCCATGACGATGAGAAACGCCTGCCCCTTCAAACCACGAAGGGGGAGCCCGTCGTGGCAGCAGCAGAGACGGCCACGGTCGCCGCGCCGGCAGCCGCTGCCCGGAGGGCATGGAACCGGAACCACTCAACGCCGACGTACTGCCACCATGAGAGGGCAAAGACAATGGCGATGTGCCACAACTGGTGGCTGGCGCCGAAAATGTCGAACGTCCCAGGGCAACAGCGCTCCGGGAAGTAGCTCACGAAGAAAACCCCGCCAATTGTCAGCAGGCAGAGGAAGATGACAATTCGCCAGAGGAAGACATCCTGTGTGTGTGTGTGTGTGTG